TTTTTGGCTCTTTTGGCTGGAAAAACAACTTTTAAAGCCAACCGTGCGTATACGTAATACCCTCATAAATGCAATCCCGCTACTCCCGGCGGGAAATAAACATGATGCTATATGCTCACTCCTACAAATCCTTCAAAAAGCCAACTTAAGCTGACACAAACACACTTGCACATGAACACATACACCGACATGAGCAACTGGAAAGAGAATGGAAACGGTGCCAGGACATACATTATCGTATCAATGGCTTATTGGAAGAACAGGCAACTCGACTATATCCCCATATAAATAACTCTCCCTCACGTCCAAATGTCTCCCTCGCCAGCTTTTTTTTCTCTTTGAGTTTGAGTACCTGTTCAAATTGAAATCGAAATGCCAGCCCATTGGCAGGCTCAACAAATCCGTTTGCCTGAGTGTCTGTTCTGATTCAGGAGCAGTCAACCTGTCTAAATAATGAATAATATTAACAGAAGGAAATATGACCTGCACTTATATTTATTATATTTAATAACATCATAAATATAATGCTACTTTTTAAAAGAACCAAATGTTGCAGAACTTTATTACTGCTTAAACTGAAAATATTAAATATATTTTAAAATTTTTGCAAGTGCTTACAACATCCCAACTTCATTGCGAACTATCTGAACCCAGTGTGACCCCATAAAAGTACAGTTCAGCCCAAGCTGACCGCAGTGACCAGGGAAAATGGAGTGGCGGCTAATGAACAGGCACATACAAATTGCGAATATGCCTCACTGGCTGGGCCATTGGGGCCAACAAAATGGATTTTCGGGGGACATTAAAAATCTGTTTCGCTTGCCAAAATGTAAAAACATAATAGCGAATCAATAAAGCCCCAGCCAAATGCTTTTGGGTTGGCCTGGTTTATGGTTCCTATGTGTCGCTGAATGTGGTCAGGTGCCGGGTGTTAGTGGTTAAATACCGAGTGGATTTTCCATTGCCAAATATGAGAATGGTGAATTGGAATTTCCCTGTAACTGTTGGTATTTTAAATTGCAAATCATTTTAAAATATATGTGAAAATACTAGAATCACTTTTAACGCATTCTTAGTAACTTTCTAATACGACAGTAGCTTAGGTTATAAATTCATAATAATATAGATAGTAAGGGAGTTACTTACTGAAGAGTGATTTTTTTCAATTTACCCTGATTAAGATGGTAATGCTCATATAATATGTCAAAGACACTTAAAGTGAAAAGTGGTATAACAAATGGTTTAGTTGCACTCTAATTTAATCATCCAGGTTTTAGAAAAACACAAAGAGGTTTCTGTTTATTTTCCAATATACACTCATAAGTTTTCAAATATCAAAGCTAAGAGATGGACATGGAGTTAAAACTCATTTTCCTTGTAATTGTCATTGTTACATTTGATACTTTCGCCATGGGCTTCGATAAAGGTAAACATATCAAAATGGTTCATAATTATTTTTTATTAAGCCAAATGGTTTATTTCTAGAGAAGTGCTATGTTCGTCCTAGTGAAACTGGCATATGCAAGGCAATCTTTTCACGTTGGGTCTTTAGGTACAGAAAATGTCAGCCAATAATTTACGGTGGTTGTGGGGCAACTGACAACATTTTTGAATCAAAAAACGACTGTGTTAAAGCTTGTCTGAAATAAAAGATGAAAGTCAAAGTTGAAATGTTGAAGTGTGAAAAAGTTAAATAATTTCAACACGCTTTACTCTTTAGAGTATGGGTATATTCCGTTCGTTGAAGAGAATATAACAGGTGGACGATATCTATTCATGATCAGAGTTATAAGCCGAGTCGAAACTCGAACCAAGGCAATTGGTTTAGTCATACTTTAACTCGAATATCATGTTTATAATCTGAAAGTTATGGTTTCTTAAAGCCTTGACGGTTCAGTAGCTTCCAAACATCAAAAGAAATCAGTTTGAAATGAACTACAAATTAATTATTACTGTTTTCACATTCGCTTGTGCTTGTAGTTGTACAAGTGCCTACAACAAAGGTAAACATCTATAAATTTAAAGCTAGATATGCTCCTCGAAACAAATTGTTAATTTGCAGAAAAGTGCGACGCTACTCCTAGTGAGACTGGCAGATGCAGAGCAGACATGCCAAGATGGGTCTTTAAAGATAATACTTGTCAGCCCTTAAGGTATGGTGGATGTGGTGCTACTCCAAATATTTTTTTGTTTAAATCGCATTGCAAACATCAATGCAAAAAATAAATACAAGACAAGATTTAAAATACCTTGTTTTGAAAAATTTTGAAATCTTTGACAACATTTTTAATCGGTTGGAATGAGAAACGTGTTTCTTACTCTTACTCTTTCCAAAAATCTTGCAATACAATTTTTTCTCAGAAGCTTATCCGAGACAATATGTTATAGAAACATGAAAGGATTATAAAATGCGATGGTTTTTCCCAGCAGCCTCAACGATAAAAAGCCTTGAATAATTAAATATTCTTTTTGAAAAATCTCAACAAAGTCGAATTTTAATCGTTTGAAATGATTTTTAAAAACTTATATAAAATTTAAAAATATTACATTTATCAAGTTCCTTTTCTAATTGCCGTGGGTCTAATATCTTCTATCAAGGCAATAATTCGTTTAGTCATACTTTAATTCGATAATCGTTATGGCTTTCAAAACAGATATATATACCTTAGTAGCTTTCCGACATCAGAATAAAACAGTTTGAAATGAACTGCAAGCTAGTCATAACTGTTTTCACACTCGTTTGTTCTTGTAGTTATGCAAGCGCCTATAATGCAAGTAAGAATCATAAATTTTACATTTTGATATGCCTTTAAAAATAAATTATTAATTTGCAGGAAAGTGCAACGCTCCTCCAAGTGAGAGAGGCATGTGCAAGGCCTACATGCCAATGTGGGTATTTAAGGGTGGTAGATGTCAGAGTATGATATATGGTGGATGTGGGGCTACACCAAATATATTTGTTCGTAAATCTCAGTGCAAAAGACAATGCGGGTTATCCAACTCTTATGGGTCATGGCCATGGTGGTCATGGTGGTCATGGTGGTAAACTTAAATATTTCTTAAAATAATTTTATATTAAATTGTGACGATCCTCAGAGAACGACGAAACTTTGTAGGGGCGTTTACCTCAGCTGGACCATTAACGACAATATGTAAAAGATCTAGGTTTAGCTGGTGTGCTCAATGGTCATGGTTTCAGGAGATCGTGTATGGATTATAAAATAGAATGATTTTCCCAGCATCCTCAAAGATAATGCTGTAAATAAAAAGCCTTGAAAAAATTAAATATTCTTTTTGAAAAACCTCAATTTAATCTAATTTTAATCGTTTGGAATTATTTTCAAAAACTTATATAACATTTATCAAGTTGCAGAAGTATTTATGATTTCCCACTTTAATTGACAGGGCTCTTATATTTTCTATCAAGCCAATCGGTTTAGTCATACTTAAATTCGATAATCATTATGGGTTTTAAAAAATATATACCTTAGTAGCCTTCCGTCATCAGAATATAACAGTTTGAAATGAACTGCAAGATAGTCATTATTGTTTTCACGCTCGTTTGTTCTTGTAGTTATGCAAGCGCCTATAATGCAAGTAAGAATCTTAAAATTTTACATCTTGATATGCCTTTAAAAATAAATTCTGAATTTGCAGAAAAGTGCGACGCTCCTCCTAGTGTGACAGGCGTGTGCAGGGCCTACATGCCAAGGTGGGTATTTAAGGGTGGTAGATGTCGGAGTATAATATATGGTGGGTGTGGAGCCACACCAAATATATTTGTTCGTAAATCTCAGTGCAAAAGACAATGCGGATTATCAAACTCCTATGGGTCATGGCCATGGTGGTCATGGTGGTCATGGTGGTAAACTTAAATATTTCTTAAAATAATTTCATATTAAATTGTGACGATCCACAGAGAACGACAAAACTTTATAGGGGCGATTACCTAAACTGGACCTTTAACGACAATATATAAAAGATCCAGGTTTCGATCGGCTGCTCAATGGTCATGGTTTCAGGAGATCGTGTATGAATTATGATTTTCCCAGCATCCTCAAAGATAATTCTGTAAATAAAAAGCCTTGAAAAATTAAATATTCTTTTTGAAAAACCTCAATTTATCTATTTTTAATCGTTTTAACGTTTAACATTTATCAAGTTGCAGAAGTATTTATGATTTCCCACTTTAATTGCAGGGCTCTAATATTTTCTATCAAGCCAATCGCTTTAGTCATACTTTAATTCGATAATCGTTATGGGTTTTAAAAAATATATACCTTAGTAGCCTTCCGTTATCAGAATATAACAGTTTGAAATGAACTGCAAGCTAGTCATTATTGTTTTCACGCTCGTTTGTTCTTGTAGTTATGCAAGCGCCTATAATGCAAGTAAGAATCTTAAAATTTTACATCTTGATATGCCTTTAAAAATAAATTGTTAATTTGCAGGAAAGTGCAACGCTCCTCCAAGTGAGAGAGGCATGTGCAGGGCCTACATGCCAAGGTGGGTATTTAACGGTGGTAGATGTCAGAGTATGATATATGGTGGATGTGGAGCCACACCAAATATATTTGTTCGAAAATCTGATTGCGAAAAACAATGCAGATTAACCAGGTCTTCGTGGACATGGCCACTATGGCGCTGGTGGTAAACTTAAATGATTCTCAAAATAAATTTATATTAAATTGTGACCATCCACAGAGAACGATGGAACTTTGTAGGGGCGATTACCTCAACTGGACCTTTAACGACAATATGTGAAAGATCTAGGTTTAGCTGGTGTGCTCAATGGTCATGGTTTCAGGAGAAAGTGTATGGATTTATTAAATATGATCGTTTATGACCAAAAGCCTCAAAGAAAATATTATTTGGGGTGATTTCAAATGGAGGGACAATTTCTGCTCAAAATTATATAAAGTAAGCAAAGTAAATTAAAAACTTTTCTTCTGCGCTGCCAAACTAATCAAAACTAAGGAAAACTCCGTATAGAATTTAAAATGAAATTTGAGTCGGGATTATTTATTATTTTACTTATTTTTGTGGCTGGAACTTGCGCCTACAATACGCGTAAGTTGGAATAATGCTTGGTGTTGTTGGTGTAATGCAGTTTATCAGCTCCCAGAGAAAGTGCGATGACTTACCCAGTCAAACTGGACCCTGCAAAGCATCGTTTGAAATGTGGCGCTTCATCAAAGAGCGGCTAAAGTGCGAGTCCTTCATCTACGGAGGATGTCAAAGTACCCAAAATATATTCGAATTGGAGTCTGACTGCAAAAAAGAGCAATGCCTAAGCTAAGGTCGTTATGTAAATGTAAAAATTTAATGCCTACTGAGGGTAGTCCTCTATTGTATTTCACAAAATAAAAGTTTCGAGATGCTGTAAAGTTTCGGGCACTTTGCACTTTATGATTTAGTCTGCAAAGTTGAAATAGATTTTTCAACAATTTTCGTAGATATATTCGGTGAACCTCGGCGCTATGCAAATAAACTGCAGCGGAGTTTTGATTTATGCTGATGGAAATTGAGTTGCCGAAAATATTATTGCCACTGAAAGTGGGCAACGGGTGGTAGTGTGATAATAGGCTTCAAATCTGGCACCCGGCGATTTGAACTAAAATGCATTTTGTGGATTTTTCATGGACTCGCAAACACAGAGTAGTATGCTTAATCAGTCCCGCCAATGGGATGAGCAGACAGTGTCGGATCAACTGGAACCGCCACGCCCAGTTCCGCCCCCGCAATTCAATCAGTTTGGTGGCTGGTATCCTTCGATACCGCTGTGGCTGGCCTCACTTAATATGCAGGTCCCAACACAAATTAAAACCCGGCAATATACACACCAACTACCACAGTAGCTGGAAAACTGTGTGTTATTGTGTGTTTGCTCGCTGTCGGTTATTAGATTTTCCGACAACAGACAAAGTTCACTTGTCGCTTACATCGCATGTTACCAGTGCTATCGTCATGTTTCCTTTTCCCGCCTTTCTCGCCACCCTTCCATTTTCCGCTTTCCCCCGACATTGAGTGTGCGAATGTCTGTGCAGGGGAATTAAATTCATTAGCAATTTGCACGCCAGCAAGCGGGTGAAAAGTGCATCCCAACTGATGGAGAACAACAGATGCAGGAAGATATATGGACATTGACAGATGACAGACATAAGACATTCGAGGAACAACAGAAGGGATTTCAAAGTGTCGCACTTTAAAAGCAAAAAAAGTAGGGAAGCCCCTCATGAGAATATAATTTGTTATCAAAATGCCAAACATTGGCATAAGTCAAGAGTTTTTATAACATAAGAGAAAAGAACTGCATTACCTGCAATCTGAGCAGCCAATTTGCTTTCCACTAACTGGATTGACTTTATTGCAGTAAAAAGTGCTTTCCTTTTTCTCACAAGAGAAGTAATACTGAGTGCACACAATTATAGCTGGAAACTAAACAGAGAAGCCATTGATCCATTAACTGTAAGCCTTCTTGCCACAGAAACAGAAACTCAATCAATCAGTGCTCGGTTGCCCGGTCTTTGTTTGTCCACACATAAGTAAAGTGGGAAAAGTAAAGCAAGGCTAACCAGGGAAATGGGCAACCGGGTCAAAGGAAAATGTCGCCTGCCATCAATTAGCTGGGCTGTGTTCACTCAATTGTCTGCCATAAACTGCAGAGGCCCAGACTGCCTGACAGAATTAATTATTACTCTTATTACGCATACGACTCGTGGTACAGACATAATTACAAGCCATCAATTGCCAGATACCTATTTCACTTTCACCTCAAAACTGGCAGCTGATCTCAGAAAATACATTTAAATTGACTTGAGAGAAATTGCATTTCATTTAAGATATAAAAAGGGTTTACCACATATTTCTTAGAAATTAAAGTACGTAACCTGAAAGATCCCCAGAAGTTAGTTTCATAAAAAGCGAATTCTCAGATTTCTATCTTAATTTAGCTATCTTAAGCAAATCGTGACTAATTTATTAATCTAATTAAGGCATAGACTGACACTTGATAGATTGACCTCGTGGAAAATGCAAGGGCAATGTGAGAATTTATTCACAATAAGCCATTAAGCCATTGATTGATTTAACCCTAGATCCGCGACAGACATTTTGGCAAGAGATTCTGTTCGAAGGCGTCTTAATGGGGAAACAGGCTTGAGATTGCAGCCCCCAACTTGTTAGCCAAGTTTATTTCTCCCCTACGTCGAAGTGGCAGCTTTATATGTTCAAACATAAATCATGCATGAATGTGGCAGAAAACTGATTCAAATGGAAGGAGCGAGAGTGGAGACACTGGCATATACAACTTTGTGCAAACTCCGACGAACAACAGGCAGTGGCAAATTGCCCAACAAATCAATCAAATACATCTGACAGATGCCGGAGGAGTCGAGGAAAAGTTCGGATGCTCCACAGGACATGTAAATGAAAGGAAGATGAAAACGAAAAGCTCTGGGCTGCCATTAAAGTGGCTTGTTGAATGGGGCAGGCAACGCCGATGACCGGACATGATGGCCAATGATGCGGCTCGATTATTTAGGCCTTGATCAAAGTTTTAAGTTCTAAAGAGAAAGAAGGAGTCGGTCCATAAATAATTCATGCTTAGCACTGAACCTTAAGTTGTCCTTTGTACCCTGAAATTGAAAAGGTCCAAAGGGCTCTTAATTATTTCCCTACTCTTTAAACTCTTATTTTAAACCACATAAATATTCCACTTTTAAATTCTCTTTTTAAATATTAAGTATCCGCCATGTGTGTGGTTGTTCTTGAATTTCTAGCTGTTTGAATTTCATATTTAACAGCAAATATAATAATGTTCTCGTTAATTTTCTAGCTACTTTGCATTTGCCTTGGGCATCAACATAAACATAAAAACAAATTATTCCAGCTCAAGTGAACTCAACTTCCAATCGACTTCATTATGCCACCTGCTTCGCCATCTGAGTGGAGGCCTTAGATTCCGCCACCTGCTCATCTGGTTCTGGCTGTGGCTCTGGCTCTAGATCCGCCTCTGCATTCTGAACTTTAATTGCCAGGACTGCGCCTACATTTTTCCACCTTTCCCCCAGTTGTTTACTTTGCCTTTTGCAATTTTCTTCCACAACTTTTAGCCTGGCCCTCTGCTTCTTAGCGTTTATTTATTTTTCTGTGAGACTGCGCATATTTCGCCTCCAAATTAATTGTTGACATTTGCATCAAAAAATAAGAAAAAGAAAACATTTGTTACTGCGGGTCTGCAGACGGGTTAAGGATTTATTTTTATACCCTTGTATGGGGAAGATAGAATTTGATTGTCAAGTTTACCTCTTATACAAGCACAGAAAGATAGTAAAAGCTTGAGGTAAAATTTGAAAAATTGCTAAGCTAGCATAGGAAAGTTCTGTAATGATGTTTTATGTATTATTTTCTGTGCAAGGGTATTAAACCCGTCGTCCTCATATTAGCCATTTTCCATTAATTAGGAAAAGTCCTTGGGAAATGTTATTTGTTTTGTTTGTAGCCAGTTGGTTAAGTGAGCGTTTGTTGAACTTGATTGGCGGATGGAAAGAATACGACACGGGAATAATAAGGAACAGATTGAGCAACTAATTTAGCTTACTTTATTACAACTTTCTTTCTGTCTACAAAGCTCAGCTTATTTTGGAGGTTATTCAGTGTTTATTTAAAGGCTTTTAAAAAATAACATTGAAAGGCTTATAAGGTTATAACCAATAGCAATATTGACCAACCAGCACCTTTAAACTCTTGATATGTTCTGCACAACATAAAATTCTATAAATGGCAGATGAGTAAAATAAAGAAAAAACTTAAAAAACAAAATCAAAATCGCAATATGATACATCTTAGTTAAGCTTAGTTTTGGCATATTTCCAAATTAACTATAATCAATTCCCAAACCACAGAACATCATGTGATACTAGTACATCTGCTAAACCAAATTGCATTTAGATAGAATTTCTAAACCGGTGTAAACCACGTTAGCAAACATACATGCCCTTGCATGGCCAGCCAAACGTCCGCAAATGTCGATATGTAAACATTTTATATGCAAAGTTTTTCACAACTTTCCGAAAAACTGCAAGCATAAAAAATGAAACTGCATACTGAACCACTTCCTTCCCGGACATGGACATACAAAAACCTGTCGCCTCTTAGCCAACTACGAACTCCACCGCCCACCTCATCATTCACCGAATGCATTACACAAATTGTTCGTTTATGGCAGGGCAAAGGCAGAAATTCAAGCGAAAACCGCACATAAAAACTATTACGTCGGCACGGCCTCCAGGTTCCTGGCGAAGCCATATAGTTTGTCTCCGTAGCCCGTTTCCTGTCCAAAGGTGGAACATCTGTCAACGGCATTCGGGCGCGACGTTCAGCTCAGACATGTGGGCGACAAATGGACATTTTGGCAACATTCTGTGGCACAACTTCTGGCAGAAAAGGAAAAAATAGATTTAGTAATAGCAACTTATTAATACCTATTAGTTTTATTCGTCAATAATTATGAAAATATATGTTTGTGGCATAAAAGTGGAATATTAATAGGAGAAATTTCTTCCATTATTAAATATTTTTTTAGTATATGGAACAAAAAGAAAAACGAATTTTATTAGAAAAGATAAGCAAAAAGATAAAAGCAATCCAACACTTATAGACTCTCCTCATGTTTAGTTACTTAGTTTTTAATATCCGTAAAAAGCCATATACCCACGAGCCTTGCCACCAGTCGGTAATAAAAATCGCATCGAAAACTAGCTGACAAACATGTTCCACTCAAGCGGAGGAACAGGAGCAGAGACACGGACAGGGACATGTCTCACTCCCATAAACGGATTGACATTTCAATCTCTGGTGGAATAGGGTTCCATTGGGTGAGACATGTGCATTCCCCACCTCCTTGAGCATCGCTTTATCGTCTTATTTCGTGCATATTTCACAAATTGCATCCGTTTGTCGCATTTGGCAGCCATATTGCATAGCTAAACAACTTCCGCACGACTGATTGTGAGTCAATTACAAAATTGCATTTTCCCCCAAAGGGGTTAGGAAAACCTCTAGTCTACCAACACCCACACCCAACCTCACAACCATTTCCCCACATTTTCGTCTGACAGTCGCGTTTTATAGTTTTGCTTGTTTGGAGTTTCGTTCATTAGGCCAAAGATGCTGCCAACTTTTTCTGGTTAAAATAGCTCGCAAAAATGGCTGCGAATATATAGCAGCTTGCCTCGTTCTCAGTTGAAAAAGTTTGAGGGAAAAAGTATCGAGTTAAATTTGCATATGTTTTTAGCTTGTTTGAAACAATGGGGAAAATGCGCTTTGAATACTTAATAATTATTTAAATATTGTACAAGGGCCTTAAATTTGGACTAAAGGAGTTGGAGTTTTTGATGTACTAAAAATACAAAAATCTAACTAAAACTATCATTATTATTTTATTTAATATTATAGTATCTATTATAGGTTTGTAAAAAAAAACTAATAGGATGTTGATAGTTATTCTGAAATATTATTATGAATAATTTAGAAATACTATATAAATATATTAGACTGTCACATTCTTCTGATTAGAATTACAAAAATATCCAACTTTGGGAGTTCGCTTATGGCTTACCCAACGAACCATGAATTAGACGCCCTTTTCCTTATAGAAACCATTAGCAGCGTTCACTTGGAGTGATCCGAAACTAGCCCAGATCTCTCCAAGGAACGGGCGAGATGGCTTGACCCTCCGGATGAAGATTTGCGGCAAAGGCACGTAGGGCGAATAAATTTTGTATGACATTGCCGGGCATTCGGAATCCTTGACTCCTTGGAACAGAGGACAAGGTATTAGGATGAGGTGGCTGCCATCAAAGTAGCGCAAATTTGTAACGGTAATTTAGCCAGGGCGTCCACCGGATTTCAGTTTTTCGGGGGGAGATGAGACTGCTAAGTAGTCAGGACCATATTTCACGCAACGACTACAAAACAGACATGGCTACGCCCAGTTGGTAAGCAAGCAACGCGCTTATTTCCTCGAGGGAAGCCCACCCAGCGACCGGCCGCCCCATCCATTAGATGCCAAATTGAATTAAATGTAAAAATCTTTTGCACGCAATTGAGAAATGGAAAAGTGCAAAATAAATTTATAGACATAAATATGAAAAGAGAGAGTGAGATAGGGAGTGGAAAAATACTTTTCAGGACTTTTTACGACTTCCATAGAAATTAAAATGCCATTTAATGCTGCCAGCATATAAATTAAATGGCCGCATTTCGTTGCCGTTTTATGTTTATTTCCTGAGGTCCTGACTAAAGCTGGGTGCTCTGCAGCGAAGCGATTTGCCGGTAAATTGAATTGGCATAAAGACAAACTGAGAGTTTTGGCCAAATTCAACGAGTGTCTCAATTTGTGAGTCCCAATCGAGTGTTCTCTGGTTTTATAGCTGTAGATTTATACTCGATGCTCGAATCTGCAATTCAACCAGAGTCAAAAACCGTGCGATTTGCTCTATAGTTCGTTCAGATTGGGGAGGAGGAGGGTGGTTACTTTGTTGCCAATTGTTTATGCCATTTAAATTTGTTATGCCCATTTTATGTCTCTTTGTGGTTTTATGGCCAAATTTTTATTTATGTCTTCTCCTCGTTCGACTTTTTGGTCACGCCAATTGCATTTGATTAGATTTTGTTTGCTTAGTTGAGCGCCCAAGATGAGGTTCTCCCAACATGAGTAATGCGGTTTATTTCCCTTATTTATGGCAAATTAATTTCGAAAGTGAATCTACTTAAGATGTAAAAAACAGTTCAATGAAATTTTAATAGACTGGAATTTTCTTTGGTATACTTTGAGATATCTGAAGAGGAGAGGAGAGAAAGATGACCCCTCACAGTTACCTGTGTAAATTAGATATTGCAGTTGGCACTGAGATGTGTCCAGATAAAGGTGGCTGGCTGTGTTGATTTGCGACATTTAAGAAGATTTATGGCCACTCCTGGCCAGTAAATGGCATCCCGACTCCTAAGTTGCCTTGAAACGGCAACTGCAATGGCAAAAGGGCTTAGAGGGGGACACGAGTCTGGCAAATGGCCGAAAGTCATTAAGTTTCCGCCTCGTTGCAAAGGCAATGAGATTTCCGCACCTGCAATGGGGCCAAACAAAATTGCTTTGCATTTCAGAAAATCATCCTTGTTTGAAGGCAAAATATTAGATGAATTGGCTTAAAAACACAATTAGGTTAATATATTTAATTTTCCATTACTTTGCAACAATTTTTTTGGCTAAACTAGAAAAATGAGATGCAAAAAGCTTTCTCATTTCTCTAACAAATTAATTTTAAACAAAATACATTTTCAACTTAAAGGACTGCATTTTATGCATATCCCTTCGGGATGCCAACTTTAAGAAGCAACTAGATTTCAGTTCCTTCTGAGGGTGCCATAAATATAATTACAGTTTCATTTCCGTTTCAACTAGAAAATGGAATTTTGGCCAGCCAGCAACGACATGGCCCAGATGGAAACACGTGGCGCATGGGGCCACGTAATTTCTCGTTCTTCAATGTAGAGCCATCTGCTTACAAATTGAACTAAACCACTTTGGATATAGGATTACGTAATAAAGGTCCTAGTTAGAGTCAAGGACAGAAATCTTACAATATGAAAATAAAGGAATGGGAAAGGATATCTTCTGGGATTATTGCACTTCTTTGTATTAAGAACACTGTACGTATCTCAATGTAAGAAAACAAATCTAGATACAGAGACTTGAGGAAAACAACTTGCCTTCATTTTACAAATACCAAAGATTCCACCCAGCAGTGACTAGCGCAACATCTTAAATCCCATGTAGACTCCAAAGGCCATACAGCAGCAGAAGAAATTGCAGCGCAGCTTTTCCCCATCTAGCCTTCCATGACGATCGCAGCAGAGGAGGTGGAAGATGTGACGGCAGAATCCCATATAGGATCGGGGTCTTCGCCCGTCATTTCTGACCTCCACCGCCTCTTCTCATCATCACTGTCATCGCGCAGTTCAACCCTGCCCATCAGTTCCAACATTCCGTCATCTACTCGGGGAGGAGGCTCGCTCAGGTAGTGGATGGTCTTTAGCTCCCGCTCCTGCAAGAGATCTAGTTCCGTGGTTTGCTCCGCCTCCGGAATCAACTCATTTCCAGCCGCACTTCGCTGCCACCACCAGTGAAAACGAGGCTTTGGTTTAACCGATGGGTCCGTCCGTACCATTGGCACTTGGTTGGGGAACTCATGATAAGCACTGGACAGGCTAATAAAGCTCGCATAATCGCATAGTTCAGTCTGAGATTCGTCATGCGCTCCGACGACGAGCTTTTGTAGTTCCTGAAGGTCGTGGGGAAAGGGATAGACAAAGGCATCTTGGACAGGGACCTCCTTATCATTCTCTGGCTGATGGTCTTTGACTTCTGTAATATCAGAGAGTGTGTCCCGTTCAAGATCATGCTGGGAAGAGTGAGACGCTTCTTGGTCACAATCTTCATCGGACCTTTTGAGGTACTCATCTTTATGATCCTCTCGAGAACTTTGTATCATTTCTTTTTTTTCCTGCTCCAACTTAGCTGAAATTTCACCACCACCCTGAAAACGCTTAATGGTGCTGCTTATTTTCGAGCTAATATTCATGGCCGTCTCCAGGGTGAAGGGTATCTTAAAGCCCAGTATATTGGTTCCAGCATCTCTTTTCCTTTGGTTGGCCAATGCGTTTTCCTGCCGCCAACTGACATACTGACGTGGCTCGAGAACCGGTTCCGTACGCTGTCGCCAATTTTGGATAAAGGTGCTAGCCGGTGGAGGGCTGCGCCAGTTTGAGTTAAGAGATGGCCAGTAAGTACGCGGTGGCATGGTCTGATGATGATTTTGGGGTAATGCGTCCACCAAGCCGTAGTGCTGTTGAAGTGGCGGAACCCGCTGAACATTCTCGGAGATCTCCAGACTGTACTCCTGGGCGAACTGCTCCTGAGCCCTGTACTTGGCCCGCTCCTTGATCATCGCTATGTGGAGCTGTCGTTCCGCCAAGCGTCGATTTTGATATGTTATTGGGCCCACATAGATCTCATGGCTCTGGCACATAATAGACAGCTGGTCGTCCGTTAAGTGCTGGATATCCCGATAAATGGGTCGCTCTCTTTTGACGGCATTCTTAAGCATTCCGGCTGCTTTGGGGCATAGTTTGGGCAATAAACTCACGGAGAATTTCGAGGCTTCTCTTGCTGAAAACAGATAGATAAGCCTTTTTCCTAAAATTTTAGATTTTCTAATCGAAAGTGCTGTCAAAAAATTCAAATTGTGAATTTTGTTAAGTAAAATATGGAGTGTCTAAAGTCTGAAAACTTATGCCCAATATAACTTGCTTTGGGTTTCTCGAAGAAAACTCCGTTTCGAATGCATAAAACAATAAATCAAAACATATTCTCGCTACGCAGAACAAAGAAGCTAGTGAAGCTGAGCAAACAAAAAGTTGAAAAGTCATCGAAATATACTTTTTCTTTGTTGATTCCTTATGTTATTTTATTTTATTATATTTGTTTGTTTTGATATGACCTGCCTGCATTTCCCATGCTCTACTGGCTTTCTATCCCCTTTCGCTGGTCCCCAATTTTATATTTTTTGGAAGCTTTGTTTTGTGTTATGGCCTTTTATTTTTTTTAGGGGCAGTTACTTTTTGGAGAAGGGTTTTAGAATGGCAGGGAAAGTGAAGTACATTCAGATGGGACCCTTAAAAGATCAAAGGGGTGGCCACTTTAAAGGGAAAACTAAAGTCAACTGTTATTTAAGTTAAACATTTCATATAGAAAGTTAATATGGCATTTCTACTCAAATTTGAAGAGTTACTATAAAAAGATACTATATTACAGCAAACAAGTTCATATTTTTAAATTAAAAATAATTAATTAATAGAATAATAGTGTAAATTTGAACCCTGCTTTAATAAATTTAGATTTTATAATGTGCCATCTGTTCTAAGGGCAACAAAAACTAAAAAGCTCAACGAAGCTTCACCTTATTCTTCAACCATCGATACAGTGCATTTCAAACCTATTTGACAGTTTCAAATCCAACTTATAAATGTATTCCTCAAAATGTTGTATATGGACATTTGCCTTCTTAAAACTCAATTATTTATTGCAATAGCTCTAAATAAAAACACTTTGAAACTTCGTTTAATATTCATAAAGTTTTATTAGTAAACATATATTTAGACTACGCACAACTACAAACATTTTGGTGATTCGTAACCTAAAAAATTCTCCTTTTTGGCTGAAAGCATGGCAAACATTGAAATATTTAGTTTTCATTGATTTTCTTCTGTATTTATTTTTTTCTTCGTGGAGTTTTGCAAAGATGTGTCCTAATTTATGTTAAATTTAATAATATTTTATAAATAATTTGTTTTTCGTATAAATTGACTGTATATGTGTGATTGTAGCACTCTATTATTGTCATTCAAGAATTCGATTTCCACGCTTTAAATATATAAATATTTCCATAAAGTTTTATGTATGTATACTTAAGCTATTAAGTATTTACAAAGCTCAACTATGAACACGAACTTGTAACGGCATTTGAAATTCTGATTCGATTTGAATTGATTTTGGTTTTTATTTATTAGTGGTGTTAAATAATCTGTTTTCTATGTTTAAATTGTCTTTATAAAATATTTTGTTTTGCTTTGCTATGTCAAAAAGTTATAGAATAATGTTTAACAAATACTAGATACGAATCTCAACAATTTGCGACCTAATCAAATGCAATTGCTTAAAGTTGGGATTGTTTGTTTGGAATTGAACTAATTTTAAATCTTCGATTGTAATACTAATCATATGGGAGAATGTAATGCAAATTTGAACTCAATTTAATATAATTATATTTAAAAATTATTTACATCTTGAAAGTATCTCTAATTTAGACGATAAATGTTCTTTTGTTTTCATCTTAAATCTTATTTCTGTTCTCGCTTTTTTGATCTTTAATTTTGGGAAAAACAAACTAGTTAACGAATGTGTCACTTAAATTCGTTGCTGGCTTAGTACTTGTACTCTGGCAGAACTCTACCCTCTGCCGGAGGAGCTGCTTCAAATTGATCAATCTGGAAATTAGATGCGACTTGGTCACCCAATATAATCCGCAAACAAACATGATGACTCCTCCTCAGCCCCAATTCGATTCGACCCTACGACCATCCTTAAAACTCCTCGTCGTCGTAGTCATCGCTATCGCTATCGTTGCTGGGGAGGATGTGGAAACATGCCCACAGCCGGGACATGTCCACTCATCGTTTGCGGTTATAGGCGCCAAGCGAAGACTGCCTTCATTCCTTCATCTCGTGGCCATTGGGTCCCAGCTCGAGGAGCTCATGGGGCTCGGCATTCAGCTGGAAGATAAATAAAAGGATGTATGCAGGTAAGTCAAGTCCACAGACTATGAAAAATTAAGTCCAAGGAGCCCATACTTACCCTGTCCACACTGGCCAGATCGTTCTTCGAAAGATGATTAACCAAAATAGTGCCCAGGGCATCACACATTACATTGATGGTGGTGCGGAAGCGATCCCTGAAATTATAGCAATTAGTCATAATCAATATTTTTTAAATTTAATGCCTTCGACTTACAATAGCCAATCCACAGCTATGATGAGGGACACATCCTTCGGCTCCAAGCCAACAGTGTCCAGCACCATCACCATAGTAACGAGTCCAGCTTGTGGGATTCCTGCTGCTCCAATTGAAGCTGCCGTGGCCGTTATACTTACAGCCACGATGGTACCAAAGGAGTAACTCATCTCACGATATTGGGCAATGAATAGAGCAGCCACTGCTTCATAGAGAGCCGTTCCGTCCATATTAATGGTGGCACCCACAGGAATGACAAAGCGAGTAACCCGAGGATCGATGCCCATGTTGTCCAGGCATTTGATAGTCAAAGGCATGGTGGCTGAACTAGAGCCAGTTCCGAATGCAGTGGCCAGAACCTGACTGAGTTTGGCTATAAAGCGGTACGGAAGTCGTCGGGTTCCCAAGAAGAAGATCACAGCGATGGTACCTGAAAAGGGGATAAATTATATACCACGTAAATCAGATATCACGGTAAGCAGGCTCGATCTAAATCTTACCAAAACCATGAAGGAATAAACCTATCATGACAGTTATGAAATACCATCCCAATGACTGTATGGTCGCCGCAATTGACTCCATCTCAATGATCTTGGCGGCTATCAGAAAGGCGACTCCCAGAGGGGAAATCCTAAACAAAACAACCATTAGTTTTTTAACTTTATCTAACTTAACCTTCACATACCAGATAACCCATGAAGTGATGGTCATCATTGCCTCGCTCAAGGTGGTAAAGAAATCCTGCAGCAGTTGTCCCTTCTCACGCATTCTTCCAATGGTGGTACCAAGGATTACACTGAACATCACAAGGCCCAGAACATTGGATCCTTCGCGTTGAGCAGACTTGAACTCCCAATTTTCCATGGGTTCTATATAAATAAGTATAGGAATAAGTTTCGAAATGAGTTTTTGATAGGGAGACAAAAACTTACGTGCAGGGCTAATGCTAGTATTCTCATAGATCTCAGTGCGGTGCTAAAATGGAAAAGGTGTCAAGAGATTAAATATATATTAGATTTAAATATGTAATAACTAACATTTCTTATTATCCTAAGCAGTAACCAATAATACAGTATAAGAACCAAATAATATGAGTCATACACAAAAGCAGTTTAAAAAACATATAAAATTTTTTTAAAGAATCGTTGACTGTGGTTTGGCTTTGTTTTTCCATATTTGCTCAAAATAAAGCCGAATCTGGATTTGCGAATACATGTTTTTGTCTGTTATTTTCCTTCATTGAGTCAACAATAATCTAATTGGGTGCATGAATATTCATTCGGTTGCCTACCTACACCAACATACACACGTATGTGCACATAATTATGGAGGTACAATGTCCATATATCTGGCACAGCCCGAGCACTAAGTACTTTGATTCAATTTGCGTCTGGGGCCTCCTAAACCGTGTTGATTTGTCCATTTCCCTCTCACTCTCTCCCGATTCGCCTGTCTGTCCCTCTCACCGTACTATATGTACATGCGATAATTGAAATTTAAGCACCGACACTCACTCACACCGCTAGCACTTGTGTGAAATCCCCCTACTTGAAGCTGGATTGTAATTGAAATTGTGGTATCCCTATCATGTCAGTTTTGATTATGTGTCGCGTTTTGTTTCAATCAAAATCTCGCCAAACCACAAAGAATTGAATAATTGCTACCGCTGCTGTTGGTAGCCTCAAATCGTTGTTCAACAGTGCGTATGACCGATGCGCCTTAGATCAGAGAGACTTACCTGGAACATGGTTGACTGAATGATGTTGTCCGTGAACATGTTTCTATTGGGAGAAAAATGAGTCAGAAGGCGTGTTCGATTATATTATAGATCCCCACGTACCGCACTAGATCCATTAGCGTGTCTGGGGTCAGCACCTTGGAGGCCTTATCGATGCTCTCCGTCTGAGTCTCCACGATCTTGGCTCCCTGGCCGGGACGCAGTGTGGTTACTAGACAAATTCCCAGAATGACAGCCGATATGGTGGTCACAAAATAATATGTTATAGCTCTAATGGGTTGAGAAATTTTATTTGTATTAATAATAAACTCATATTGTGGCATATACGGTATCGACCTACCTGGTAGCAATCTTGCTGGACATGCTCAGATCGAGGCCACCGATGGCACTGGTGATTGAAGACACCAAAAGCGGTACAATCAAACATTTAAGCATTCTGAAAAAGTAGATCGAAATAGGAGTTTTAGACTGTTTTTTGGTATTTTCTTGTAGAAATGTTTGCTTACTTACCGCAAGAAAATCTCTCCGGGAAATGAAATGTACATGATCTCTCGCTTAGACCACTCGCCCGTGCTATTTTTAATGATGAAGCCGATAAGTCCGCCCACGAACACACCAATAACGGTGGCCATGGTGAGGACATTCTCCTGCATAAATGCCTTGAACTTGCCGCCATCCTGCTTGGGTCGCGTCATGGTGACGGTCCTTGGATTATCTTTGGGTCTGAACAACCCTGGGTCCTACTGGAAACCCTCCTCACGCACTTTTGTGTGCCGTGACTCTAAAATGGCAGATTATATAACAAAGGGAGTCCTGAAAATGAAAATGTGGGTAAAGAAATTATTATTTTAAGTTTTGTATGAAATTATTATTAGAGTTTCTGTACATAGAAATTATTATCTAAGAGTTCCAAAACTTCTTA